CTATGGATGAAGCAAGAAGAATACACATGTTTATATATATATATATATATATAATATATATAATATATATATATATATATATATATATATATATATATATATATATATATATATAATATATATATGTTGTGTTGTTGTGTGTGTGTGTGTGTGTGTGGTGTGGTGTGTGTATTTGTATATATATGTATGTATGTACACACACACACATAAATATTTTTATTATGTATAGGTGTTTGTGTTTGCATATATTTCTGTAAATATGTCCATGCGTGTGCGTTTATGTTTATGTATTGCTGAATATATAAGCATATAAATTGAACACACACACCGATACATATATAGACAAGTGAATAAATATACGTACAGAACTACTTATCAACATTGACATACCCCCCCCCCCCTCTCCAGATTTATTTGAGAAATTTTTGGGTGCAGGTGCGGTCCAGAGAATTTTCTCATGAACAAGGATGTAACAAACATATATATATATATAAAAAATATAAAATAGAGTTAAATAGAATAAAAATCTCAGTGTTCTGTGCAATTATCGGTTTTGATAAGACTAAGCACAATGAAAATTTAGAAACACACACTATATAATTTGTTTTGCTCCCGGCTTAACTTGCAGTGTCGGTAAAGAACTTTACACAGTGATTGACAGTACGACGAGTCAATGACCATGGGGGGGGGGCACACGCTGTGGCCAATCAGATTGCAGGAGAGGGGCCCTGCAATCATAATCATTACATATTTCTTTTTCTTTCAATTCTATTGTTTTGTCGGTATGGGAGCTACCATCTGTTCACTCTGAGGTGAATTTTGATCCCTATGTGTGTGTGCATGAGGATATGTATATGTGTATATGTGCGTATAATTGTAAGGGATAATGTGTATTGGAGTAATGCCGAAAATGACAAATAAAAATAAACAAACCAGTATAACAAGAAAACACGTTCGCTATTAGTTCATATTGCAGTAGTGTTTCAATATTCAACATGTACACACGGGCGTGCGCTTGTATGTCTAATTATGCGAATGCCAACTTTTCTGTATAAGATGTACATTAAATACGCGTTGAAATGCAATAATCTTTAATCAAAAGTGAGTGTACATCATCGAGACAGGTAAAGGAGTCGTCTGTTTGCCTATATTAGATGAACAATATTCCTTAAACAGCCACTTTAGCCGAAGAAGAGCCAGCCAAAAGTGATGGTGGAGCCAGTGGGGAGCGTGAGCGTGGTGGTGAAGCACGTGGGAATGAAACACAGCAGGACGCAGCGGGTGAAGGTGACGCTCACTTGACGACGGTCTTGAACACTGTCATTCTGTTCTTCAGTGACCAGTTTGTAAACGGGAAGGTCGCCACAGAAGTTGGCAAGATCCGAGCCGATCTCCTCCTCAGGATTGTCAAGGGAAACAGCGGAAACTCTGACGTCAGACTCAACCCTCATGCCATCATCCTGATGGCCTTTGATGAAGGCTACTTGTTGCTCGAAAGATTTAACCAGTCGCCTCACGTAACACGCTTCCTGGGACACAACTCGAGATGCTGCTAGACCCTGCGAAGTTCATAAACTGGTTATTTCTCCGTGTCATTAAATACTGAATTCATACAGTTGAGCAAATTGAAGAATTTCTCATGCATTATCAGTTCAAGAAAACAATAACGTAAAGTTTATCATGGTATCCAGTGATGACCTACAAGTATTACTTACCACACTATAATCCTCCAGAGTTTCCACGTCATCGAAGTCGTCGGATTCAGGCATGTGGAAGTGAATTTTCATGGCAAGGCGGTCTACATCCACTTTCATGCAGCTGTTTTCAGCGGCGCTGTTTCCCTTGTAACATATTTGGTAATCCTGCCAAAAAAACGGTTATGTTTAATATTAATAAGTATGTTTCACATGAGAGAGAAACTGAAATGTTGTATATGTGACATAAAAGGTAATAATATATATATATATATTATATATATTAATATATATATATATATATATAATAATAATTTAACTTGTATATCAACAGTTTTTCATACCTGAACCTCAGCCAGGGAGAAGCCTAAGAGGCAGGAGAGCATCAGCCAAGTGAACATGGTGTGATCTAGAAGGAAATATAACTAATTAAGTGGTATGAAATTGACAGATCTTGAAATACATTCATTTCCTAAACCCTGAACCTATACAGTATCATAGTGCGAAACAGCCCGCTTGAGAGTTTCCACGAAATAATGAGATAAAATAACGAAAGGGATTATTATAGGTACGGGAAAGAAAAAATATATTAATCCATTGTAAGAGGGCACATTTCTACTATAAAATGTTTTTGCAAGAATGTAAAATAGCACATTAGAAGGATTATTAAACAGGTAAGATATGAGAATCGTTTCACCAAGGATAGCTACCACTGGTGATGTGAAATCGTCCGCGAAGTTTATATATCCCTCAGAATGCCGTACGACCTTTGGAAAGGAAGAACTCTTGTTCCTACAAAAGCACCACCTGTGAAAACATTTTTTTTTTTTTTTACACTGTTTTCCATTCAAAATTTGTCTATCGGCAAAAAATCTTCAATCTCAGCTGATGATATATTTATATTTGACTAAAAGAGATTTCGCTTTAAATGAAATTTGAATCTGTTAATTTCATCTGATTTGATCATATGTAAATTGGAGAGGGAAGGAAATAGACGGACGTGTCAGCATTCAGTTAATATTTAGAGCATTAACTTTTTCCTGCATTGATTTCAATTCCATACAAGTTTCTGAGTATCCTGTACGAATATGTGTGTAGTACTACTATATATATAAACACATATTTGTATATATATATATATATATATATATATATATATATATATATATATATAATATATATATATATATATATATATATATATATATATATCTATGTGTTATATCCATATATATATATACAGTTATATTCATATACATACATATATATAATATATGAATATATATTTGTTGTGTATTCTGTGTATATATATATATATATATATATATATATATATATATATATATATATATATATATATATATATGTATGTCTATTATATACGTATCTCTCTCTCTCTCCCTCAATATGTAATAAATGTATAAAACATATACGGGTATCCTAATGCATACGCACAGGGTGCGTGTGTTTGTGTGTCCATATGTACGGAATGCATGTATTCTGCTTGTATCCAAATCGTCCTATCTCGACTAGTGGTGATTCGGACAGAGTGGGATGGTTCTGATTTACATTGAAATGTATGTTTTACATGAAATTATGTATCTTATAAACATTGGTGCAAAGAAATGAAGTATCCTAATGTATTACTGTAAACAATATATTCAGTAGGTCAAGTTAGTCTGCAGTACGATAAGGAAAGAAATATTGACCGCTTGCTATCTGAAACAACAGAGCGCTGTTATTGTCGTGGCATGTGTGACTGTATGCATGCTTACGCACGCGTGTGTGTGTTGTGAAAAAGAGGGAAAGAGAGGAGGGAGGGAAGGAAAAGAGAAAAGGAGACGGAGAGTGGGGTGGGGGAAGAGAGAAAGGGAAGGAAAAATAGATAGGGAAAGGTGGGGAGATAGATCGAGAGAAATAAATGGTAAAGGAGTAAGAGAGGGGAGGAGGTAAGAAAATGAGAGGGAGAAGGAAGGAGTGAGAGAAAGAAGATAGAGAGGGGGAGAGAAATCGTGAAACAAGAAAAAAATACCCTTAATTACTAGGTGCGTGTTTTAATCCATAATGAAGAGGATTTATTAAATCATAAATTATTATGAACAGTCATATCATGTCATACGATTATAATTTTTTTTCTTTTTTTACATTGACGAATCAACCTTCTTTTCAAACTTCATCCCTTATGTAGAACAGAAATTATTGCGCAATCGTGTGAGAGGTTTAGATACTTGGTTTTGTCGTTTTGGAAATACCAAATACCAAATTGGTATGATGATGTTGACTTCGCTACATGCCATATTAGTAAATCTAAAATATGACAATCGGTTGCTGGAAAAATACATAAACTCGCCTTCATCAAAAATCCCAGTAGGTGCATTATTCCGAACATCCACTTTCGAAATGTATGTATGTATGTATACACACACAATATATGTAACATATATGCATATATATATACATATATCTTTATGTACACACATACATACATAATATATTTATACATACATATATGTATATCCACATGTGTATATACATACATATGTGTGTGCGTGTGTACAATATAAATATATACAAACACTGATTTGAACATATGTGTATATACACATATATTCCATTTATTTTTATCTATATAGACATACATATAAATTGGCCGAAGTCCGCTTTAATTAATGTACATTCGTATTACGTCATTCGCGATGAATTCATAGATGTAGAAATTGAAAAAAACCTTTCATGAAATTTCTATTTCATTTTCACAGTGGATTTTCTTTTAGAAAGAATTTAGCCTTGCTGATGCCATTTCAGAAGCTGCATTGTCAGCAAATATCAGATATATATTGGATGGTAAGAGAGCTCACGGGACAGTCGACGGTACCATCAGGTGAGTCCCTTGGTGCACTGCGAGTGGATACACACGTTTTTATACTTTGGCTTCTAAACAAATGAATTAATAGATGTACAAATGAATATTTGTACATGCGTACATATACATCCTTAACGTCCTTGATAACAATTGTACTTTTATTTTTTTTATATACATCTTTTATTGAAATCCTATTTGTGCAGACGTAAAAATGTTGAGGATCGTAAGCCTGGCGGTGACTTTGGCCGTGTGCGTGGCACGACCCAACCAATGGGACGACCAGCTTGGGCTCTTCCCTGCCGACGGCGGAGACTCTCAGCCCATCTTGCCTCGCGCCGTCGCCAACCCTACCACGCCCAACCAGATACTCGACGCAGTGCTCGAAGGAGCTATCGCATACATGGAGTAATATTTTAGTAGTAGTGATCTTTTGGTGTTATTTCTCTTTCACTGTTATCATTCCTCATCATATTGTATACTGATTTCATTAGTCTTCTTCCTAACTGTTGTCCTTTAACAGAGCACTAGGATGGTGTGGATCCAAAAACGTGCAGAATGGAGAGTCAAACCTGCCCTTCCAAGTCAACTCTGACGGAAGCAGTTCCGAGAACTTCAGCATCACTAAGGCCAACGTGACTGGACTCTGCTCCCTGCGCCGCTCCAAGTCCGCTTCCTTCAACGCCGACCAGGTATGAATGTCAAATGAAAAGAAAGATGTATGATATGAGTTAAAGGCATTAACTTTTTTAACTCATCAACTTCAGTATCTGAGAGGAAATTCATGATAAGAATATTCTATTTCTTAAAGCTAAGTATATATTATCTGATTATTAGTTACTTATATTATGTATTTTTACAGAGTGTGCTCTCCGGTTCGGTTGTCGTGGAAAACGCTCGTGCCAACGCCGACTACACGGTAACCTTTGCCGGTGTTGGAGAAGCTCCAGCCCAGACTGTTTCTGGTCAAGTTGTAGAGCGTGTGGACAAGCTTGTTCAGATCAATTGGACAACCTTGTGCCTCAGAACATCGCCAGCTACACCGCAAGATCGGGTCACGACCTGCTTGAAAGTGCAAGCAACTTGGACGGCAACAATATGAAGGACGTTCACAGCGCCGGCTTCAGGAAGGCTTTGCGAGAGATCCTGGAGAAAACCATGGCTTCCAACGTGAAAGTGCAGATTAACAAGTCCATCCAGGATATGAAGAATGCTTAATCTTTTTAGGTGATGAAATTAATTATATAAAATTTTTATTCTTTGTCAGTACTATCGATCGGCATGTGTGTTTTTGTATGTGTGAATTTAAGTATACTTATACATTTACAGAAATACATCCACATGTAAATACATTCATCTGTCGTTATTAGAGTTGCAATCTGAATGCACAAATGAATATTCACAGCTAGACATTAAAACCTCCGAGGCAAAGGAACAGACGAATCGCCTGTGCATGACAGAAACCATGGAATCCGAAACCACCTTAGACAAACGAACATTTTTCATCCATTAAAGAATAGATGCCTAAAAAAGAGAGATGATTGCTTGGCCAGGAGAATTTTTTTTTTCCCCTTAGAACCTGCCTTCATTTTTTTCCCTTAGTACTGAACCTTGTAACATACATGAGTGTCTTGCGATCTGATACGAAGAGATAAAGGAAATTACATTGGCTTGTATTTGTGTACACTACCACTCTCCAGGCAAAACCTATTTTACATTTTCTGTTGTTTGGTAAATGCAGAAAGAGGACATCACCTTCAGCTTTCCTTGATCATAGATTAACTGATTTAAAATGCGAGCTGATGCTTCATTCTCCATGTTCAAGTGTGCAAAGTAATTTCTAACAGTACACTGGAACAGAAGTATGCTTTACGTACCTACATTAACGAACAAAACTTTGGACAGTTACCCTTATTCACATACACCATATATGCACGGCCACTTACACCCACGTGCACACAAACATGCACACGCGCGGATACACACACACGTGTATACACCAATTGATCACTCATGTATCCACGCACACATACACACATGCAAAACACGCATGTTTCACTCACGCGAACTCACGCGAATATAGTTACCCTCATTCAACGCACACATACATGCACATGCATACATAAATGTCCGCATACACATATAAGCACACGCACATACAAGATGAGCACATACACACATGTAATCATAACACGTACCCATGCACACTCGCGCACATACTCGCATTCACACACATCCGAACATAAATACACATATACTAATATACATATATACACATATATGCATGCATATGAACTCTTGCCGATGCTTCAAAGACAGCAAAATGTGTTCGAATTATGAAAGAGTGGGCCAGAGAATTTGATGATAAGTTCTTTCTACATTTATACTGATGGTATTGTACATGAAAAGCCAGTCGTACCAAATGAGACTTAAAGCTTCCCTTTCTGGTCAATTGCCTTGACCAGTGTCGGACTGCAAACCCCACCAAAGGTGCGGACAAATATCAGGCCATAAAGGAGACAAGTGAAACAAGGCTGAACAGCCCGTAGAATTCCGTAGCTTAATCTACTGGAGGCTGACATCTACAACTTAGCGGACCACGACACATACATATGTACATACATTACATACAGACATACACACTATAAATATGCACACATTCATATAGAATGTATAAAGAGCCACACACAAACACATATATGTGTGTGCATCATATTTCGTGTTGGCGACGTTACGATAAAGGGAATAATAAAAATTAATAAATCAGATATTTTCGTGATATACGTTAAATAAACCATTTGTACACATTGTCTGTGGATGATGGAAGAGAAAAAAAATATATATATATATACACGTGTGTATATACACATATATACATTTATATACAAATGTAGTGCGTGTGTGTGGATCTTACAATGAGATGAGGTCGAGCCGGAGAAAAGGTTTTATCTGACCTCATTATTTGTCTAAAGAAAGCTGGATGTTGTAAAATATTGAACACTAAGATATTGAGCATTCGGAAGGTTTTGACAATGGATAACCACTCTAACCCAAAGACAAACCCACACTTTCTTGAGAGCTTTTAAGGGAATCCAGTTATTTAATATTATTATTATTATTATTATCATTTTTTTTCTTGAATTGTTTTTGGTCAAACAGGACCCACCTGTCCAGGTCCTTAGTCCCTCTATCCGCTTCACGGGCATCATCACTCGAATAATGCATTTTCGAGAGGCCCCTTGCCGTTGACACCCTTACAAGTAGTGTGTGTGTATGTGTGTGTGTGTATGTGTGTGTGTGTGTGTGTGTGTGTGTGTGTGTGTGTGTGTGTGTGTGTGTGTGTGTGTGTGTGCCCCGCACACACACGCACAAAACCTTCCGAATGCTAAAATATAGAAACAGAGTCTAAATAATGTTTTCACAGGCGGTGCCTTAGTAGGAACAAGAGTTCTTCCTTTCCAAAGGTCGTACGGCATTTTGAGGGATATATAAACTTCGCGGACGATTTCACATCACCAGTGGTAGCTATCCTCGGTAAGTAACGATTCGCATAGTCTCATAATCCGTCCAATGTGCTATAGTACAATTTTATGTAGCATAAATGAGTCCTCTTAAAATGGATTTTTTTTTTTTTATTCCGTACCTAAATTAATCCCCTTCGTTATTTCATCTCTCCAATTCACCCTGGAAACTCCAAAGCTCACTAGGATTACTGTGTAGGTTCAGGGGTAGGGAAATTAATGTATTTAAAGATCTGTCACGGTCATACCACTTAATTAGTAACATTTCCTTCTCGATCACACCATGTTCACTTGACTGATGCTCTCCTGCCTCTTAGGCTTCTCCCTGGCTGAAGTTCAGGTATGAACACGCTCTTGATATGCATATTTAAGCAAGAAAAGTATTACCTTTTCTGTCGCATATAAAACAGTTCAGTTTATCTCTCATGTGAACTTAATACTTGATATTACAAAACATGAAAACAGCTGCATGAAAGTGGATGTAGACCGCCTTGCCATGAAAATTCACTTCCACATGCCTGAATCAGACGACTTCAATGACGTAGAAACTCTGGAGGATTATAGTGTAGTAAGTAATACTTTTCAGGTCATCAGTGGATATCATGAACTTTCCATTATTGTTTTGTTGAACTCATGATTCATGAGAAATTCTTCAATTTGATCAATTGTATAAATTCAGTATTTAATGACCAGGAAAAAACAATAAATATCTCAAAATTTATGCACTTCGCAGGGTCTAGCAGCATCTCGAGTTGTGCCCCAGGAGGCGTTTTACGTGAGACGACTGATTAAATCTTTCGAGCACCATGTAACCTTCATCAAAAGTCATCAGGATGATGGCATGAGGGTTGAGTCTGACGTCAGTTTTCGCTTTTTCCCTCGACAACCCTGAGGAGATCGGCTCGGATCTTGCCAACTTCTGTGGCGACCTTCCCGTTTACAAACTGGTCACTGACCAACAGAATGACAGTGTTCAAGACCGTCGTCAAGTGAGCGTCACCTTCACCCGCTGCGTCCTGCTGTGTTTCATTCTCACGTGCTTCACCACCACGCTCACTCTCCCCACTGGCTCCACCATCACCTTCGGCTGACATTTCTTTGGCTAAAATAACTGTTGAAGAATCATTGTAAAGAGGTCTCCTTTACCTGTTTCGATGATGTACACTCATTTTTGATTAAAGGTAAATGCATTTCATTCTGTAGCGCAGATACATACTCAAATCCACATACGCATATTTACATATATAAATGCTATCTATTATTCCCATATGAATTCACCTACAAGAAAATATAAAGGTCCCTCCTGATTAAAAACAATTTATTACCAATTAAGTGCTAGTGTGTGGGGCTTGAGTGAGTTTACATAGTCATAAGTAAAGCTTTCCCTAGTCTTTGACTTTCACCATCTTCCCATGACCTAATTCATAATTTGTTTATGCTTTTTCTGATTATATAACCATGTCAAAGTTTCCTTTGTACATCTATTACTTTCATAACATTACGCTCGTTGTCAGTTCTTTTTATCTTTGTGTACCCTTTATAGTGTTTGTTAAAAAAAAAAAAAAAAAAAAAAAAAAAAAAAAAAAAAAAAAATATATATATATATATATATATATATATATATATATATATATATATATGTGTGTGTGTGTGTGTGTGTGTGTATGTATATATATATACATACATATATACATATATATATATATATACATATATATATATACATATATATATATATACATATATATATATATATATATATATATATATTATATATATATATATATATATATATATATATATATATATAATATATATGTATATATGGGTGTGTGTATAAAAAACATGCAGTCGTAAAGTCACCGCTCTACCACTGAGCTATGCCATCTCTGTGTATATTTAGCCCCAATAATCAATTATGTTTTGGTATGTTAAATCGAAATTTCGAGTCGGTATCTTAACCTGTAAAAAGTTTTTTTTTCTGTCCTTTCTCAAGTACAATAAAGTTGATTTGTATTAAAATACTGTAGACTAAGAATGGTTGATCTATAATCTTTCTCATTATATTATATATTACATGCACAGATTAGTAATTTTCAGAAAATACATAAAAAAAACTAATTAAATAGTCACTACCTCCAAAGTGGGCATCCCCAAAAATCTGGTATATATATATATATATATATATATATATATATATATATATATATATATATATATATATATATATATATATATATATATATATATATGTATATATATATATATATATATATATATATATATATATATATATATATATATATATATATATATATATATATATATAATATATATGTATATATACATGTTATATGGGATATGGATATGAATATATAGATCTTTACATGTATACAATTTATTTGTTTTCATGCATTAAATCCATATAGAATATCTGAATGTATGTGAAAACCGTGTTCTTGTGTTTATGCGAGTATAAAAGAAAATTATAGAAACAAAATGAAAATGAAAAAGGACTGTGATGCTGCGCACCAGTGTGCAGCCTCACGCTATGCGGGGGCAGCAGCGACAACATCAAGGATCATAAACTTTTCGACGCTTTCCTTAATACTCCGGTGAACAGTGGGAATGTGCTGTATTTCTCCGACATTAAGTGAAGAAATAGACGTAACTAACAGTTTCAGCAGTAGGATTTTT